TCTCTGCTAGGGTATGCTGTGCTAGTATGGGGACTGGTGGCACTGAAGATCAAAAGATTTTCCAGTAAGCATCTATTCCCACTCTTACACTTTACCCTCGAGTCTCTAACCCAGTTCACACAGTAGCCCCATGCGAATACAGGGGATAGGGAGAGTGGGAGGGAGTGTGCGCAATTCACCCCATGCCTCTGTGTAAGTGCCTGATCATCTGCAGGGGTGACTGCATGGCACAAGTTGCCTTGCGTACTCTCCTGGCTGTGGAGCTTCATTAATCATGGAGAGGAAGAGTTTGAGTGGCACTTCTTCCATGTCTGCAGGGGCAATTGTATGGGGTGGGGCATGTGCGCTCACTCCCACTCTCCCTACCCCCACAGTGACTGTGAGGGGTTGTTGTGTACACCAGGTTTCTGTGGTGAAGATGTTTGTAATTAGAATTGCTGCTGGAAATTTGTTGATTAAATCAGCACAAATATCAGCAACTCAACAATAGTAAAATTTCTCACTTTCTACAGGTTTTATACATTTATTTTAATCAGTCCAGATTTTCTGCAGAGTTCTATAATCTGAAAACAATAGGAAAAATGTGTGGGAACAAAGAATCAGAAAATTCTCTAAGTCACCAGGAACAAGATGATTACCTATTATTGATGACACTCTTCAACTAATCTCAGCCATTTAAAGGGTTGCAGAATATTCTGAAAATACCAGTATTCTAGATATGAAAATACCATTACTATTATAACATTTTTTTTTTTGAAAATCACCACCTGAGCACCATTTTTCTTTTACTGAAGATTCCTCTCTGCTAGGGTATGCTGTGCTAGTATGGGGACTGGTGGCACTGAAGATCAAAAGATTTTCCAGTAAGCATCTATTCCCACTCTTACACTTTACCCTCGAGTCTCTAACCCAGTTCACACAGTAGCCCCATGCGAATACAGGGGATAGGGAGAGTGGGAGGGAGTGTGCGCAATTCACCCCATGCCTCTGTGTAAGTGCCTGATCATCTGCAGGGGTGACTGCATGGCACAAGTTGCCTTGCGTACTCTCCTGGCTGTGGAGCTTCATTAATCATGGAGAGGAAGAGTTTGAGTGGCACTTCTTCCATGTCTGCAGGGGCAATTGTATGGGGTGGGGAATGTGCACTCACTCCCACTCTCCCTACCCCCACACCTTCAGTGACTGTGAAGGGTTGTTGTGTACACCAGGTTTCTGTGGGAGAAGGATGAACTCCTATGAACTGATGGGACATACAGATGCCTCTTTGTATTGCCCTCCCGTAGTGCAAAGATCAGCTTGAAGAAGGTAGGCCATTTGCATTAGGAAGAAAGAACAGGGGAAAGGGTTGAATTCATCCCCTCAATCTGCATTGCAGCCCTGGTACTAAGAAAGGATGCAAATGTATGTCTTAAAGCAAAATCTATCACTGACTCACACTGGCATATTTTAAACAAATGGATTGGCATCTGTTAGAGATGCCACAGGCACACATCATCCTGAGCTAGAGATGGGTTTGGACTTGACTGTCCTCTTGGTGCTATGATTTATTTATTTACTTCATTCATTCATTTACCGTACTTCATACTAGCAGCTTCTTTGAACAACTGACAATAATGAATGGATGACCTTTGGGTTTCATGACAGATATGAGGAGTGACTGAGGGTAATATATGAGAGCGCTTTGCTGTGGACCTTAGATCAGACACTGGAACGGGATCTTTGATACATTTGGAGAATATGGAGGGTGAACTATGTTGGAAGCCACTTTGAGGCCCCTTTATTTTCAGGTGGGGGATTGGAAACAATGCTCCCTCTATGTGAAATCTTGCGAGCAAAAATTCTACTTTGTGAGCTACTGGCATTAAAGTTGTGAGTGAGTGATTTGGCTGCTGCATAAATTAGTTTGCTCTTCTCAGGAAGAGCTTGAGGCTAAAAAACTATGAGCTAGCTCACACTAGCTCAGTTTAGAAGGAACACTGACACGTGACATCGGAATGCAACCTGAACTATCACTTTTCCTGTCCCCACTTCAGGATAATACTAAGAGCCATCCACATCTTCCAATTTACCATTTACTATTGGAAGGGCCCAAGGATGCTCATTACTGAACAGGATCTTTTAACAAGTTCCTTGCTTTCTTCAAGTGTATTCTAGATTATTTACCTCTTTTCTTCCCTCTATGATTAATTAATTCATATAAATCCACTTTTCTGCCCAAAAGGAACCCCGGTGGACTTACAACATTTCCCTGCCTCCATTTAATCCTCACAACAACCCCATGAAGTAGGTCAGGCTGACGGTGTGTGACTTGTCCAAGGTCATCCAGTGAGTTTCCATGGAACAGCGGGGATTCAAACCTGATTCTCCCAGATTCTAATCCAACACTTTAACCACTGTATTTCTATTTTAATATGAGATACAGGGACCATGGCCCAGTATTCAGTAGATAACTATTATAAAACAATTCATTTTGTATTTTATTTGTAAGGTTGAAAATGTCAGCAACCAACTAGCATTAACTGTTCTAATGTGGTTTTACGTGACAGTTATCATATGGCTTGTAGAAAGATTTCATAGAAAATGGTAACTCAAAAATAAAAGATGAAAAGAGACAGCATTAAATCTGCTAAACTGAAAACAATAGAGAATATTTAATCCTTAGAATTAACCTCACAGGCTGCCCTATAAAGGCAAGGGTGAAATTAGCCACAAGCTCCACGTAAGAGAACTGTACCAGAGTGAAATCAAAACAATGCACCACACACTAAAGCCATTGAGATCAAGCTTAAAACAATTTTTTTTTTTTAAAAAAAAAGAACAGGTGGGGGGGGGGGGGGGACACACCTCTGACTTTAAACTTAATTATTTATATTTTTGTGTTTTCAAGAAGGTGCTTTTAATTATCACTCATTTGTTTTTAAAGCAGCATTTTAATAACTTTTTTAACATTCTTTTTTTTGCCCCATCTTGGCATTCCTTTTTAATAGTACTTGTCCTTCCCCCCTTTGGCATCTAAAGGGACACTGTGATGGATGTGGATTCTATTGCAATGTTCAATTACCAGAAAGTGTGTAAACGCCACCTTTGGTGTACCTAAATAATCCTCTTGGTCAGGCTTTGCATACATCAAAGTGGGACTTAATATTTAATTATGCTTTGGGTGCTATAAGTTAGTGGTCCCACAAATCAATGTACTTGGCTGGGAAACAAGCCAGCTTGTGCAAAATTAAAGATGTGCTTTATGCCACCTATCTCATAGTTGGAAGCACAGCTATTTCCAGTTCTCTAATGATGAGTTAACAAAATTAAAAATTCAGATGTTCTCATTTTTCAAAGGCATGAGAGATCCTAATTCGCATTCTGGTGGCACCCCACTGGGGAACCTATGGCCAGCGGGCAGGGGGGGGGAGAGGGGTGTAGTGACACAGAGGGTGAGATGTGTTGTTTTAAATTCTCTTATCTAAGTTCTCCAGGTTCTATAATTTTCTAGTTAACTGGAGCATTAAAAATGTGCCTCTGAAGTACTAGCATTTTCCTTAAAAGGACAAAGCATGCAAATTTTGCATTTTTCTTTTTAAAAAACGTACAGCCGAATATTTTTTACTTTAGTATGCCTGGGTAGGTATAATGGGAAATTTTTATGTTGCCATATCTGGGCACTTTTAGATTGCATCTTTCTGGCTGTTTGGTTTGCTGTGTTAAGCACATAGTGGGGAATAGCATTCCTGGCAAAGGTGAAAGTGAATCAGAGCGAGCTAAAAGTGGGGCATTTTCAGTTTTGATAGCTTCAGAAACTGCACTTTGTTGTATGTGCAAGTATGTTCCCCTTTTAGTCTTTTTTTGGGAGGAGGGGTTGTTTCAAAACAAGGTAAAACTCATGAAGCACGGTCCTCATTCTGAATCCACTTTGCCCTCAGTGATATCACTATACACCCAAATCTAAATGATTGCATAGTGAGAGCACATCATCGTACCTACTCTGGGTGGTGGTGATGGCAGCAAAGCAAGCTCACGTTTCTGCCACTATTGGATCTGCGCAATGCCATCTTGCATAGGGCAAACAGGACAAACCCTATGCCAGAGGATAAATGGACACAAATCTGACATCAGGAATCACACGACCGAGAAACCTGTAGAACACTTCAACCTTCCAGGACATTCAATGGGTGACCTCAAAGTAGACGTTTTATTACAAAGGAACTTCAGGAACAGAATGGAAAGGGAAATTGCTAAATTGCAAGTTATTAAAACACTTGGAACAAAGACTTCCCCAGGACTCAACAGGGTATTGTTTTCTTATCTCATTATATATGCTGAACTCATTTAGTCCTCTGTATTTTAGTATATTTCTTTTTTTTTGAATGGTATATTGGAATGGTGAATGAAATGCAATGAATACTGGAGTGCATTTCTCTGACATAGCACTGCACCCCACCTCTGGGAAAAGGATGTCATTAATTAACTTCATGCTTAAGACGAAACAAATGGTGCGTAACAATAGAATCAGTTTATTACCACTTGACAATTAAAAAGGATACTTTTACACATCTATCTCCTATTTTGACATATTTATTGCCTCACTGTTTCTCCCCCAAATTAAATCCAAACAAATGGTGACTATATGAACTTAGCTTATTATTGCTGTTTAGTCTTTGTATATGTCAAAACATCTTCATTAAGTTGTATGTTTACTGTTCACCTATGTAGAGGCATCTGCCTATATAGACATCTGCCTGTTAGCTTCTTGTTAGCTTCCATTGCAATGCATCAGAGGAAGTGTGCGTGCACACAAAATCTCATACCTTGAATAAACCTTTGTTGGTCTTAAAGGTGCCACTGGACTCAAAATCTGTTCTGCTACTTCAGACCAACACGGCTGCCCACCTGGATCTATCTTTAATGTAAGTTTTTTTTTAATCCAGTTATTACTTGTAGTAGTTAAAGGAACGGTTTGGTTTTTGATTCTAAAATAGTGGACACTGCGACATGATATTGCCTACCTGAGTCTGAGGCCAACAGGCTTTGAGTACAGCTTGAGTTCTGAAGAGCACAAGCAGCTTGTTGTCTTCATCTCTAAGGTGAAAGGCTTGCTCCAAAATCTGCAGCACTTGAATGCGAGGCTTCACTGGCAAGGCATCATCCCCACAGAAAGGTCTAAGCCAGTCTAAGAGATCATCAGAAGAAACTAGATTCTCCCTGTAATCAAATTGTCCAAGTTAAGTTAGTTAAACATTGGGTTTCAGTCCACCCTAAAACAGTTCTCAACAAAACATCCAAGTGTTCTACAAATAAGAATCTAGTATATCTTGTATTACATCCTACACTCACCCAAAATGAAGGGCCAACCCCTGAACTCCTACGTCGGTGAGGCAGTGGGTCAGAAGATCACTGCTGCGAGATCTAATAGTAGTAGCAGCACCACCCCGCCCCAGCTGTCTTCAGAGATTGTCTATCAGGGCGACCAATACCCTTTTCGGCCCATGGTCAGGGTGGAAGCCAGAATGGAATGGGTCCAACACCAATGTCTCATCCAGGTAATCCTAGAGCTGTTCAGCTACTGCCCTCTCAATTACCTTACCCAGAAATGATAAATTCGAAATTGGGAGGTAATTGGAAGGATCAGAAAGATCCAGAATTGTGTTTTGTTTTTTTTTAAAAGCAGTACCACCACGGCCTCCTTGAGGTCCTTCGAATAAACCTGTTTCCATGGATTAGTTGACAATATCCATCAACAGGCCCTGTGTCTTTTCATTGCCGGCCTTTACCAGCCACGAGGGACAAGGGGTCAAGGAGGCACATGGTTGGTTTAACAGCACCCAGGATTCTGTCCAGCAAAGAAGAGTAGGCTGAAGGTGTTGGAAAGCAGAATCCAAAGACCGCCAACAGGCTGCCAGTTCACATACTGTATCAACATTGGCTGGTAGGTTGTGGTGGAGTGACAAGACTAAACTTGAGGAAAAGAAAAAAACCCTGTCCTTTACTACTTCCAAATAACTAAATATAAATGTGCAAGAAGTCCTCATATTTACTGATAATACTTCAAAATGGAACAGATTTTTTCCAAAAGAAAAGAAGCTCTCAGTAGAACGTGATTTATATTATTATAACTAATGTTGCTATACTGATCCTAAACAAGTTGGATGGGAACATAATCTCAGTCAGAAAACACCAATTCAATCTGTCTGGAAGTGCTGAAATAATACAAGGTGACAGCTTTAAGTAATCATTTTGTGTGACGACTTCAGAATTTATTTATTTTACATTTCATCTCTCAGAGAACTGGTACTAAATTAGAAATGGTGCTTCTGAGTGAATATATTCAGAATGTAAAACAAAAGTTTAAAACATAGAACTGTTGAAGCCCAACTTCAAAAGTTAGGTAAATTCATTTTACAAATTTTCCAGGACAGTTTATATTTAGTTGCCTCAAGAACCAAAGCATTTGGAGGTTCATGAAATACAGACCTCTAATCTAGTCTATGGCGATACTGTTATTTCAGGGTAGATACAATTGTCATTTCACTCCACATTTATGTCTTGGAACATTGTTGCCAATATGGGTGTTGAAATCTCCCAAAAACATAATCTTTGCCTTGGGGAATTTAATCTCAGACTCTAGGAGATAATCTTCCAAGTCACTCAACAATATTAGGAATCAGTGAACCAAGTTATAGAGTTATCACAGAAATGAATAGTGTACTATAGAAAATCTCCTCGCTGTCTGAATACAAAATAGTACCAAATCTGATTTTTGGCCAAATGAAGTGAGACTTTTGGTCTAGCTCAATAACTAGACATTTTTGAATACATATATCTATCGGCGGAGCCAACTAAAAGGCATCAGTCTTGAAGTAAGTGTGGTGCTTTACAGTCCTTGAAGAAATTCACAGCATGAACAGAGATCTTGTACAGTACAGTACGTGCCAGGGTGCATACACAAGTCATAGTATTAAATGCTGTCAACTGATCATGTTCCCCCCTCCCCTGCTTGGTCTCAGCATTTCCAGAAATGATGCCCAAAGGCTCTTACCCGTTCTCAGCACTTGTGTGGACAGCAGAAACAATGCCTTCTAGTACCTGGAGAGGATCTTTTTTGATAGGGAATTCGCCATGACCACCGCTGTCAATGCAACAACAAAACAAAAAAATAACAAGCTCACAGAACTCACTCAGGAATATTTCAGAATACTTACAGGGATATAATTCTTTGCTTTATGAAACACTTAATCACTGCGAACTACACATGTCTCTACTTGAATTGTATATGTTATCATTCTTTCACTATAAGGTGAAAAAGTAACTAGAAAGCAAAATTTCAAGACCTTCTCTCCCAAATTATACCAAAAGAAAAGAGACATGGATAAGTTGTAAACGGACTTTTACTGTATCTGCTTGAAGTATAAACAGTTGCATTTATCAGTATTAAGAACCCAACACTCATGCTTATTTGGTGCACCAAACACAAAAGGAGAGTTAAACTCTACCTAATATTAACTCCTCTGCAACCCTTTGCAAGGTGCTCATGTGAAGTGGAAAACATTCCAGTAGAGAGAAGGTGTGACAAGATAGTTTATGACTCTTTGAAAGAAATGGACTACATGTCAGCTGTCTTCTCACTCCCTCACATGCCCATGAGTGGAGACAGCGTAACAATTTTAAAACAATGTTATTGTACTATCATTTAAACAAACATATCTACCTAAAGTAGGATATCTAGAAATCCTAGAAATGAAAAGTGAGTAGGGTTAGTTAATTAAACTGAAAAGGACTCTTTGTAAATGTAGTTAAACTGGTTTTGAAGGGACGAACAGTTAGTATTAGGTAGCATTAACTATGCACAGGAACTTAACAGAATTAAGAGTGATTCGTGAAGAGATGGAAATTTAAACAGTGTCTTGACCAGTGTTCTAACACTGTCATAATAATTCACAGCCGAGTATGGCTGTAAGACTGGCTGCTCCACCTCAAAATTTATATCATCGAACTAAAAAGGGGTAGAGAACAAAAGGACAATCAAGATGGTCAACGAGTTGGAGAACCTTCTCTATGAAGCCAGCAAATGCATTTGTGCATTTTCTCTTAGAAAAACAGGTTAAGACAGAACGTGACACAGATTAAGTGTAAACAAGTTAAGGTAATTTTCTCTCACTCTTCTGTCACATTAGAACTTGGAGCCAGTAGTGTTAGTGGTGTAGTAATGGAAAAAACAATAAAATATTTATTAAAAAAAGAAAAAAAGAACTTGGAGCCAGCCAACAGAATTGACCAAGAATAGATTGAGGGCAGGCAAACAAAAATGCCTTCCTAGTATGCACAATTAAATTAAGGAATTCGCCACCAACAAGATGAGATGATGGCCACTAGCTCAGATGACTTTGAAAAGGAATTACAGAAATTCAGAGATCAGAAATCTGTCCTGGCTAATAGCTGTTGAGAGGCCCAGATTTGACCTCCATGCTACTTCCCAGTTGCTGCAGAACAAGTGGGAAGAATTATGTGGCTCTCATGGCCTGCTTGTTGTTTTAAACTAGAGTGGGCACCATAATGATCTCTGGCCTGAATAACGATAATGAAGAAGAAGAGAAGAAGAGATTGGATTTATACCCCACCCTTCACTTGGGAGTCTCAGAGCGGCTTACAAACTCCTTTCCCTCCCCCTCCCCACAACAGACACCCTGTGAGGTGGGTGGGGCTGAGAGAACTCTGAAACAAACTGCTCTTTTTCAAGGACAGCTGTGCCAGAGCTTCTGACTGACCCAAGGTCACATCAGCAGGTGCAAGTGGAGGAGTGGGGAATCAAACCCGTTTCTTCCAGATTAGAGTCCGCACACTTAACCACTACACCAAACTGCCCTTTATATGGGCCTGACATTCTGTGGAAAATCTCAATTGACTGACATTTCCTTCAGTAAGATGGAACTTTCCCTCCATTTGCCCCACTGCAGCCCAAAATGCCACCCCCCATGCTGCTCTTGTAGAAAAGGGGACCTTCAGGATGAGGGGAAAAACAAATGTCTGAAGGGGATCCAGCAAACAATGCCCCCCCCTCAATAAATGGAATTTTCCTACTGGATCCAACTCAAGTACTCTATGTGCACTGGCATCTTCTGAAAAGGTCCAGCTTAGACTGCGCTCACTTTCTGTAGTAAGGAGGTGGGTTCAAGAAACAGATTCTTTCTGATCGCAACCCCCTCTACTGTGCAACCTACTTCCCAGAGAGGGTCTTTCTGAACTGTTCTCTACTAAGTTTCTGCAAGTCAGGCTGTTTAGGAAGGTTACTCCGTCCTGATCAGTTTACATCTGAATTTATATTTGTGTGTTTTGCTTTTACTGTTTCAATTGTCTTTTTTCCTGACCTCAAAACTTTTAGTAAGCTGAAAGTGGTTTATATTGCTAAATAAATAAATAAATAAATGATAGCTTAAGTTTTAAAAGAATGTGACACAATGCAGTGTTGACTAGATGAACATAACTTTAAAAAAGCATACTTAAATTTAACAAGAATTACACTTTTTAGCTTAACACATAAAACTTAACTCACCTTAAAGCTTTTACAACTTTAGTTACAGCTTTTTGTACGGTATCTCTAGAAGAAAGCCCTAGATTTCCAACAGCAACTTCCAGTAACTTCTGTATCATATTCAGGGGCTGGCCATCTATACACATAGTTACGGCTTGCTCACTGATCTTCTCTTTTTCTGACCGGGATAGATCATATAAACGTCCATATTCCTGTAGTACAGTCTGTATGGAGAAATATTTTGAATGCACATGGTGTAACTCACTCCCCACCATGATATTTGTAGTAAATATGTTAACACTGATGAAAGGTCAAATTTTCTTGCTAACTGAGAAACACACATGAAATTATGTTCTTGAAGACATTCAAACACACAATGCTCTATACTTATGGGAGAATCTATTATTTTTGCCAGTGTACAAAACAATTGTAGGGACTTATCACAGAGGACTAGTAAGCCATAATGTCTTTTTTAAGGAATATTCATTAATATGTATTTATTGATATTTAAGATAAAAACAGAAGATTGTTTAATTATACTTTTTAGTTTAACGCATGCAATTAGAGTCAGTTTGGTGTAGTGGTTAGGAGCACGGACTCTAATCTGGGAGAACCAGGTTTGATTCACCACTCCTCCACCTGAAGCTACTGGAGTGACCTTGAGTCAGTCACAAGTTCTCTCAGAGCTGTTCTCTCAAGAGCAGTTCTCAGAGAGCTCTTAGCCCCATCTACCTCACAGGGTGTCTGTTGTGGGGAGAGGAGGAGAAGCAGATTGTAAGCCACCCTGAGACTCCAAGTGAAGGGCGGGGTATAAATCCAATCTCTTTTTCTCCTAATTAGTTGTCTTTATTGTAAGACACCCAAAAATGACATTGGTTTTGTATATAGGATTCTGCCAAGTCCTGCAGCTCCCTGCACTACCCCAAAAGCTGCTCTTGAGAATCAGGAGAACATGGGATGAAGTTCATGGGGCTGAACTGCAAGAGGGAGTATTTGCAGAAACTGCTGTGTCCCACCTCCTGCAAGTACAAGTATCTATTGTCTTCATGAAGGCATCTTCACATTCTTTAAACATCAATAAGACAGAGTGGCAAAGAATGTTAAGATACTCAGATTCAATAATTTCAAATTAATTTTTTAAAGATGAAAAATGCATTTGTCACTACTATTTATTTATTTATTTCATTGGACTTATAGCCCACTCCCCCCCGTGAACAGGCTCAGAGTGTGTAACATCATAATAAAACACAATATATAGCCTAAAACATTCACAATTCTAATACAATAAAATGATAAAATACAATCAACAACTCTACTAATGGATAGCATTAAATCTCAAGAGGAGTAACTGAAAACTGGCTGGTATGCGGGTAAAAAGGGGAGGGAAAAGGGTAGAAGGGAGGGGGGGAGGCCAATCAAGATGGAAAACTGTTGCTGCCTTCAACTGTATGCCTGGCGGAACAACTCTGTCTTACAGGCTCTGCGGAACTGCTTTAGATCCCTCAGGGCCTGGATCTCACCCGGAAGAGTGTTCCACCAGTTTAGAGGGAGGGCTGAAAAGGCCCTGGCTCCTGTTGAGGACAGCCAGACATTCTTGGGGCCAGAGATCACCAGAAGGTTTTTATCACCTGAGCATAGTGCTCTTGGGGGGGGGGGGGTATACCAGGAGAGGCGATCCAGAAGGTATGCTGGTTCTACTACTACAGAATCATACCTTTGCTTAGGTTAACACTTTCAGTTTACCTGGTCACTGTTTTTCAAGTAAGAGATAAAACTGTGGCTGAGTGTTTCCAAATGTGCAAGTGACTGCTGCAGATGAGACAGAGCATCTTCATCAGCAAGATGCCTGTTAGCGACACCTTCTGCACCGTCCCCCTCTGAGATCTTCTTCCGAGCTTTCTCAGCAATATGTTTCACTGACTTGATAGCCTTCTTAGTCATCTCTACCCGAGCGTCAACTGACAGCTGGAAAAAGATAATTTACACTTTGTCATTAGTTGCCATTGTCATTTGAAACACAAGGGGTGCTTGGATGCTCTAACAAAAAGCGTGAGGCAGGATTAACGAAGCAATGGATAAACAATGATTAAGAGATTGTCTTTGCTTGTGAAGAACAGGAAGCTCCTTTGAACCATAATCCCACAGTAAATTCATTGTTTCGTGTCTACAGTTCCTTTACTGATTCCATTACCAAACTTTGAAGATTCTTCCTTTCTTAAAAAAAAAAAAATCAAAACAAAACACAAAACACCCACCCGTCCCTCTAATGCACATCAGTCTGTAGCAATTTTGAAGCATAACTTTGTACTCTTCAAATTGTCTGACAAATTCTTTTGAAGTTACCAGCTGGAAGAAATTCTTATTGGAAGGGTATTTTGATTCATGTTAACCTACTGTTCAAAAAGGGTGACAAATAAACAGAGAGGCAACAGGAGGTCTTCACATTTACATTTCCCCCCCCTAACAAATCCATCACAAAAGCACACAGTGGTTTCCAACCAAGCACACACTGTGACTTTCATTATCTTCTCCGAATGGATGCTGTGGATTCTTCCAACTCACTGTTTCTCACCGAAAAATGGATTGCATTGCACCACAAGCTGACGGGTCCATATACTAGAGAAATTTGACTATACTGAGAGGATAGAAGTTTCAAGGAAAAAAATAATATATAAAGACACCAGTAAAAAATGGAAAAACTTTTTAAAGCTCTGTGCTTGAATCCCAAAACACCTCCAACAGTGACGAACAAGCTACTCCAAGTATACCTTCCTGCAGGGCACATTCTATTCACTGACTTTGTTTCAAGCTTGCCTGAAGGAATACAAATGGAATTTTCATTTATTAAACTTATCCTCTATTAAGTTTTACATTTCTGAATTACAAATTTACATGAGGAGTTCTAGTTTGTAGCTTTCATCTTTTATATAGCACTTTTAGTATGTAAAGTGCTATACAGCATTTTATGTAAGTGATAAAACTTAGTACCACTGAGGGTCTGTAGCTCAGAGGTAGAGGATCTGTGTTTTATACGGAAGGTCCCTGGTTCTATCCCTGGCAGCTCCAGCTGAATTGATCAGGTGATGAGTAAGATTTCTACCCAAGAGCCTGGAGAGACAGTGCCAGTCTGATATACAATACTGACCTTGATAGGCCAATGGCAAGATTCAGTAGAAGGCAGATTCATGTGTGCTAACCTGAGCCACTCCAAAAGCTGTGGAACATGACTTGTAAAAAGAAAGGCTTTGTAAAACATATGGGGTCATTTACAATTAAAATCTAATACATTTTTCATGCTCTGACATACATGTTAGCACAACAGTTGGCCTAAATGATGCCACTGAAATCTAGCCTAAACAGAAAAATCCTAAACAGCTTTCAAACATGTTCTCTAAATTTGGAGTAACCACAAGAATACCTCTATGTATATCCTTCTGCTGAAGATTTCCAAGAACAGGGCCTAGTGTACATGCATGTAAAGGATTATTTTATAACTTGAAGCTGAATGTATGAATGAGCTGCACTGAAAGTCATGGACCCAGCCTTGCTGTTTGAAAAACAGGTTGGTGCAGTGGCCAAGAGTGCCCTCTGTCAGCTGCATCTGAGTCACCAACTCTTTTTTTTGTCTCAGCCAGACTGCTGGCACTGATCCATGGTTTTATAAACTTATGATGAAACTACTGTAATGCGATCTGAGCTGGCCCTGAAAACAACCCAGAAACTGCAGATGGTCCAAAGAAGGCCCATAGCTACAGTGAGGCTTCGTGGGGCCTGCCCCCCCCGACTTCCCATTCAGCCAGACTTCCAGTTTTTAAAATTTTATTTATTGCACTTGTCACCAACAAGCCCCTTATCGCCTCTCGCCAGCTGCTCTCTCTCGTCTACAGGCCTGGCTAAGGGCCTACACTTGGTGAGTCTGGGCTGCTGGCAGCTGGCGCAGCTCCCTTTCACCTAAGCCCTTCCAGATATGTGGCAGCACACAGGGGCCTCGACTGGAGGTGGGCGACGGCTGCTCGGGCCATTGGCTCTGGTGGGTCCAAGCCACTATTAAAGCCCTTTAAGTGCCTTGGACCTACATTTCTAAAGGACTGTCTTCTCCTCTATGTTCCCATCTGTCAGCTGTGCTCTTCACCTGATGGCTGTTTCCTCACTTAGAGTGGCTCGCCTGGCATTGACCAGAGTCCTGGCTTTTTCCATCATGGCTCCCACTCTCTGGAATGGGCTCCCTGAAGAAAGGAGGATCTTCAGGAGGCACTGCAAGGCTTGCCTGCCTCTGTCGTGCTGTGAACAGCAGGCAACTTGTGGGCGGGATAGTTTTTTTATTCTATTTGGTTTTAAAGACAGGGTATAAATGCTGTTATAAGTAGAACAAATCAGGAACATGAGTCTAGCCATGGAGGATCAGACCAAATGTCCATCCTCTTTTCCCACAATGACCAGATAAAATGATTCCAGTAATCTAACAAAAAGATTCATTTTTGTGTTCCAGAAATTGGTTAGTAGCACATTGCCTCTAAACATGGATTTTCCACTGCACTTGCGATACAAACAATGTCTGATATTACTTCCGTGACAAATCATTCATATGCACACATCAACACTTGATTGTGGACCAGCCCTTAATTTCCCAGTTTGTGATACAGGCTTTGCATTTTATATTGTCCTTTAAAAGAAAACACCTCACCCCCAAAGCATAAAAATCTGCTTTTTTATATTTAATGCAGTAAAACCAAAACAAAACAAAAATGTCACATCTGGGGTGCACTGGATCAAATCATAAAGATAATGCTTCCTTATCATACTTTTAGCAAAAGTAGACACTTTCTTCCATATTTTGCAAAAGAATTTGATTAGCATATCAATTAAGTTTGCTAGCAGAACAGTTCCTAGTCTGTTCCCTTCTTTGTATATTTAGGTGCCCCAACTCTGGGTAAAGCAATGCAGATGGCAGCATTATGCACACATTTAGTTTGTTTTGTTGGATGCTGAAGAATAGCAAAAGTACTTGGCATCCTTGGAAGTCAAAATGATCTTGCAGGCAGAGAGTAGAACATTTAAAAGAAGAATAACTAGGACAAGACAATGCTACTTTAATTGTACATTCATCTCTGCATAGCACTTTAGCGCTGTCAGAAATGCCTCATCATTTCTGAAATGCGTGAAGAGCAATCTTTCTTACTAAAAAAAATATGTTTTGAAATGAGGATATCCGCTCCAGCTACTTTAAAGCAATGGTTACAAAATGGTGACTTCAGCCTCACATCAAAGGAGAAGGCGGCGGGGGGGCCCCCTCTCCTGGGCTCCTCTGGCCCGCAGCGCTCGGCGCTGGCCGAAGGCGGCAGCGGGCTCTCCTGGGCTCCTCCGGCCTGCAGTGCTCGGCGCAGGCCGGAGGGGAAGGCGGGGTGGGCTCTCCTGGGCTCCTCCGGCCCGCAGCGCTCGGCGCCCGCCAGAGGCGGTGGCGGGGGGGCCTTTCCTGGGCTCCTCCAGTCCACAGCGCTTGGCGTGGCTGGAGGCGTCGTCAGGGTTCGTCTGGCCTCCTCCGGGCTGCAGCCACAGGGGTCAGGGGTCTTTTGGGGCCACAGTGCTCCAGCGCGGGCCTCAGGAGGCTGGTGACAGGCCGTAGCGGGAGAAGCTGGGGGCAGGGCTTGCTGCCGCCTGCCATTTTGCCAGCTCCTGGAGCGGCGCTCCGGCACGCTCCGGCCCCAAAAGACCCCTGGCCACAGGTTTTGCCCACTTGGCCCTAAGTTGCTTTTTGAAGAATTCCGGAAAGGGAAAAAACTCAGCTGCACTGGTTCATGGAAAAAAACCTATTTACTGCCCTTGGAGCAGTTTTTATAATTGGAAGGAGTTTGGGATTGTTCTTCCTCTGGGAGGAGGCTCCTGGAGTTCCAGGGCTGTTAGTTTTGGACAACAGGTACTGGAAGTCTTTGTTCTTAAAGAACCTAGTAGACTGTTCCGGGATTTCTATTTCAGTTTCCTCCTCATTCAAAAGGAATTCACTCTCCTCCCTTTCCTCTGCATCGCTATGAGATGTAATTCTCTCTCCCCTGTATGTATGATCTCTGTCTTTTTCTATTAATTGGCCTTTTTAGGGCTGCATTAGTGGGCCACTTGGTTCGATCCCTAGCCACCTGGGACTTTACTATCTCTGAAGAGGAGGAGGGGGGAAGAGGAGTGTATTGAGTCTGTATGTCTAAAACCTTCTTGTTGGCAAAAACTAAAATTTCATTTTTCACAGTTTGCTTAACAGTTTCAAGAAAATCTGAAAGCACAATGAAATGCCCAGGTTTGGCTATGTTACCGGGCTGCTGGAGGGAAGCGCTGTCACATTGAGTAGGCTCCTGACTGGCAGATGGATTTATTGCTCCTTCACCCAGTTGGAAAATGTCTGCAGTCTCTGCTGCCTCAAGCAGGACTTGTGGAGAAGAAAGGAGTAGCCAGTTGCTCAATACAGGATTGCATGCCAGCCCCTGAGGGCATGCAATGTATTGAGCAACTGGCTACTCCTTTCTTCTCCACAAGTCCTGCTTGAGGCAGCAGAGACTGCAGACATTTTCCAACTGGGTGAAGGAGCAATAAATCCATCTGCCAGTCAGGAGCCTACTGAGCTCCTACTGAGCCCCTGAGCTCCTATGCAAGGCCACTGCTTCTGAAGCCTTTTGCAAGAGGCACTGCTTTTTGGTGTGCTTTTTCACCTTGCACCTGTGTGGGTTTGTTGGGGTCACCTGATCAAGGCCGATAAGGGTCTTGCTGGTTCCCTCAACTCCTTTGTGGTCAGAGGCAGAGAGGACAGCAGGCTCTTCCTCCAATAAGAAAATGTCACTCTCTGATCCATGGGTTGCCATTAGGAGTGAACAAAGGTCTTGCTGTTGATACTCTTGGTGACAAAATGGCCACTGCTAAGGGAATGGCCCTTTATAAGCTATTTTTAGGTTCTCCAGGCAAGTAGGAATGAGTATGAAAGATATAGCACAAGGTAAAGGAGAATACAAAGGGTAGGTAAGAAGGTCATACTAGAAGAAGGAGAAACAGAATAGCGATTAGATGTAGGCAAAGCCTAATCTACATTGCTCTCCCTGTGAGGCAGTAAAAGAACTGAGGGGAAGGGTGACTCCCATGCAGGAGACAGGAAGTGAAAAGAACTTGTTCCTGCTGCCCTGATTGGATGGTGGGAATCACACAGCAAGATATCCTCCATCTCAGAGGGAGAACAAAAGTTTTCACAGGTTTGATAACATTGGTAGTGATACTCTGAAACGAGCCCTGTAATTGCTTTATGTCAACAGACTTTTCATGGTAAAAAAAAAAGGAAAGAAGCAAAGATTTAGACCGTTTTAAATTACATCTCACAATTTACACAATCGAAACATAAAAGTTTATTATATTTACCTTAATGACAGCCTTTGAGGAAAAAGTAATTTCATCCATGAACTCAATAATGCCTCCTGGATTTAGTCTATCAAAGTACTTGGCACAGATATCATATGCATGTAACCACTCAGGTATAGTTTCTGGAGCTCTCTTAATGAGATGGGGATCACCATTCCAGAAGACTTTTTTTAACCATACAGCATAAACAGAACTGGTGGCAAGCATTCTTCCATCCTTTTCTGGGATTTTGGGAGCAAGCTTGGAAATAGATAAAATATTTTGACTTGTCAGGATAGGATCCAAAGCTTCTAGAGGGTTCACATTTTCTTCTGTTAGCTTTTTGTAATTAAGACCTACCAATAGAAAGAAAATATACAACTCCTTAAAGACATACCACAACTGTCAATTAACTACAATTGTATGTTTGAGTCCTGAAACTGATGCCCTGGAAATGAACTCCCATGCTATGGCTGCCTCAGAGATTCTGACACCAGCACAACTGTGTTATGTCAGGGCTTTTTTAAAAAAAGAGCAATGCATGAACAAAGGAGGCAGGAATTTCCATTGTCTGTCACTAAACAGTTAACAGAATGGCCTTCAATACTACTGCACTGCAACATCTATCACTTTTTAAATATTTGCTCTGGTGTCCTCCCCCCCCCCCCGTAAGTAATCTATAGATCAGATGTGAATGCACACAAATCTGCTGTATATCAAGTCAAACCATTGGTCAGTATTGTCTCCTCTGACTAGCAGCAGCAGGCCCAGTGTCTCAGGCAGAGGTCTTTCACATCACCTATTACCTAATAGCAATCTGGCTAGCTGCGTCTGAATAAGATCTCGCTCTGTCTGTTTCTCTTCTACTACAGTTACAGTGTAATCCTAACCAGGTCTACTCAAAATCCTACTCAAGTCTGTTCAATGGGGCTTACTCCCAGGAAAGTGTTCTTAGGATGGCACCTTTATTTAAGGTATGAGCATGTCCAGGGGTGCAAGCCAAAGGGCTCTTGTCCTAAGGATAACCTAGAGCAACAGGGTTTATTCCCAGGAAAGTTTTCTTAGGATGGCACTTTTATTTAAGGCCTGGGCCTGTCCAGGAGTGCAAGCCAAAGCTTAGAGCTGGACAGGAGATTTGGCACAGAGAGAGGAAAACCTGCTCTGCATTTAGAAACCCTTTGTCCTTCCTGTTCTCCCATTTATGCATTTGTTTTGTTTTATTTTGTTGGTATTATAAGCTGCTTTGGGGGGGGGGGACATGATATAAATATTTAAATGAAAAATAAAAAATAAGGCATTTCCTGTTCTTTAAGACAAAACATTCAGCAACCAGATAAATGTTTTGTCAAGAAAGAGTGAGGCAAACATGAAAGAAGTAGAATTTGGATACTAAGCTTTAATATCCTTCTGCCACAGACCACATTTACTATGTGCAACAACCCCCACACATTCACCAAATGGGTGGTTCCTAGAGCTGGTTAGATGGGAGGCCCAGACAGGAATGTAAGTTTTGAAGAGAAGCCCTCCCAAAAACTATGAGAAGACATAGGGTTGCCAAGTTTGAATTCAGCCGGAGCGGGGGATTCCTGGCTGGCGGATGGAGCGCGCGTGCGCCGCATCCACATCGCCCGGAAGTGACACAGGCACGCCGGGGGCGGGGCCATGACTATCCGAGCTAAAACCATAGAATTTCCCCTCGGATGGTCATGGCCCCAGCGTGCCCGCGTCAGTTCCGGGCGACGTGCATGTCGGGGTGGAGTTCCCCCTGGGGTCCGATCCGCCGCCGCCGGGGAATGGGCCTCTGGGGCGGGGGTTTCCCCGCCCCCCGGGGGGCCTTGGCAAGCCTAAGAAGTTACGATTAAAACAATTGCAGTAAGCCACTTGCGGTTAATATCTTCTGACCAATGCTCCCTCTAAGCTATGGAGTCTTGTGAGCAAAAATTCTACTTTGTGAGCTACTGGCATTAAAGTTGTGAGCGAGCAATTTGGCTCCTGCATAAATCAGTTTGCTCTGGAGCCATCCTTCCTGAGCTAAGACAAAAAAGAGGGAGCCGGAGGCTAAAAAACTGTGAGCTAGCTCACACTAACTCAGCTTAGAGGGAACACTGCTTAAAATTGCTATAACTTCCTTGCCTTTCTTGTCAAATTAATGTGGATCACACAGGTAATTCCAATGCTTGGCTAGCACATGCCTTCCAATTTTAAAATTGCATCTACAGACTGATCCAGAGAAACAGAGACTAAATGGCATCAGAAAAACAGAACAAGGCTAATTAATACAGAAATCTAGAACATTTGATATGTGAAGGAAAGCCCACATATTCCATATATTCCATATATAAACTTGCATGACTCAGGTTATACAGTCACATATGTACATGTACAAGGAAATCAGAACTGGCTACATACACATTCCACTTACATAAGAAGGAGAAATTAATTTTTGCATTTGCCCAAAGATGCTATTTTGTTTAGAGTGATTCAGGCTTCAATAGACAAAAGGAGTAAACAAAAACTAAATAACCAGTAACGCTATCCCATTCAGTGAATGTTCAGTAGAGCAAAAGATTACAAGCATTATTTTATACGTGTGTTTCATACATTGTCATGTTTAATACGGATTCATCTAATGAACACTTCATTTTAGTAACATATGTTGCTTTAGCTTGCTAAAACTGAGCATACAATTAGCTCAAAAAGACCTGATTAGCACTTCCGTAAAACAGAAGAACTCTAAAAGAAGAAGAGTTGGTTTTTATACGCCACTTTTACCTTAAGGAGTCTCAAAGTGGCTTACAATCTCCTTTCCTTCCTTTCCCCACAAAGGCCCCCTTTTCAGGTAGGTGGGGCTGAGAGAGTTCTGAGAGAACTGTGACTGGTCCACGGTCACCCAGCAGACTTCATATGGAGGAGTGAGGAATCAAACCCGGTTCGTAGGTTTAGATTAGAGATTAGAGTCTGCTGCTCTTAACCACTACACCATGCAAGCTTTCCACTGCCCTCTCTCTGTAAGCTCAATAGAGAAACTCTCCCTAGATATATCAATAGTGTTGGAAATGAATCACTCTAGTAACTATAAGCCAAAGGAAAACCGCCACCAGGTACGTACCCGGTGCAACTGCCTTGAATTTTTTCAACAGACGGATATGAGTTTCAGGCTTGATGGCATGTTTCACAAATTCAGGACAGCTGCAGTTCTCAAGGAGCATGAAATAATACAGTAATCGCTGGTGATCTCTGCCTTCGATAGTAGGGTATACATATTTGACCATACGCTCATGAAAAGCATCTGGGATGGTTTTCAAAGTCTTCAAGAGACCAAGGCTTTGTGCTCTTTCTTCTATTGCAGCTGTAGATAAACTATGTGATAAAACAGAACACAGTTGGTTTCTTTCGTTATTCATCTAGTCAAGTGGTCCTCCCTTTTGCAATTACCATCAAACAGAAGAGCCATATCAACTTCCATCCCTAGCATGATGTGTGCTCCTCAGTGAGGACTGCAGCTTATACATTCCCCCAGTGGCAGCTGTTTCAAGGTGGGAACCACCTATCAACCACAAGCCCCACCAGACACGGGCCTTGCCCACTTTCCTGAAATATGAGACATATGCCATACAGTGGAATGGTGCTCAGAACAGTCACAGGTATCACTAATCTAGTTAATAACCATATGGTGATTCCACATCAGGCATTTGCACTGGAAGCTGGAAGCCTGGCAGAATTTTTCATGAAAGGATTTGCTTTGTAGCGCCAGTAAAATAGTAAACTCTTGTGTACAAAACAACCAATTTTAAATTGTGAACAAAACGTTTATACAAAATTAAACAAGTCTAAGAGCATTTTTTGTTGACAACTGATCAAACTTAGAAGTCTTTTTGCTCATGATCATATTTTACTTAATGTCTCATCAAGTTGGGTACTCATACTCTTTACTTGTCATAATTATTATTTAAATTTATAGACCGCCCTTTCCTGAAGGGCTCAAGGTGGTACACAATAGGTTAAGATAAACAGAATAATTTCAGTTTACAATAAACTCAACTGGACTTAACGATGGCCTAAAATTACACTTCGCTTCCTCCCTTGGGCAGATCAGGGACCGGTCATGGAGGAGGCCATGATGAGAACCACAGTGTGGGTCGTTGCTGTCCTCAACTATAGGCTTGGTGGAACATCTCTGTTTTACATGCCCTGAGGAATTGAGCAAGGTCCCGCAGGGCGCAAATGTCACCAGGTATGGAGTTCCACCAGGCTGGAGCATACAATTAGCTCAAAAAGATCAAAGAAGAGATATTTTGGATACATCATCTACAGACATTAACTCCTCAAGGACTGAATGAAGAAGTTGACTGGACCTGCTGCTTTTGAGAAAATTTATACCTGTCATTCTGTATTTGGTAGTGCTGACCCTGTGATTCCCCCCCCCCAAATTCTTTTTGCCCTCTCTCTCCTCTTTACCCCTTCCCACTATGGTAAATAAATAAAAATAATGACACTAGACTGTCAATTATACTTTGAGTGAGATTATACAGATGGATTAGGCTTGTGGGCAGGGCAACTCCCACGGGTGCTTCCTCATCCCCTATCAGCACTCAATGGAGCAGTGGGGGGAAATGGTGAGGAAAAACAATATTGTACAATCCCATTTCTGGCCAAAGGAAACAGCAGTACCATTGCTGCAGTGCTCTAGGAATTCCCCAAAACTTTGTGTTTTTTTATCAAACAGTTTTGGGGGAAATCCTAGAATACCTCACAATATTGTGGCACCATTTTTTTTTTTTGGCTGGACACAACACGGCATCACACAATGTCATTCCTGCGTGTCTCTGCTCTCTTGCTGACTGCCACCCAAGGCCCATTCCTAGGCTGGATACAGTCACACCTATTTGTTAATTTGGTAAAAATATTTTGTCGTATTTCCTAGGATTCAAGATGCTCTCCATATTTCATCTGGCAGACCATTCCAAAGGACTGGACCTACCACAGACAAAGGCTGCCTTGTACTCCAAACACTGAATAATATCAGTGTCTGGGGGCAAACTTTCTTCAGGACATACCCGGGCCACAGGAGGTGGTATGACCCCAGCCCTGTGCTTTGGACTATCAACAGCTCCTATAACCACCCCACTGGGATGTGGGCTGGCATCACCTGGCCAGGCAACGTATAGCTCCTTTACATCGCTGAATAGCCACTTTAACGATTTGCCAATGCAAATGGGAAGCAGGTATTGGAGGTCAAAGAAGAATGCTGGATATGCACATGGTTAAGCCTGGCCTATATAAGGGGCCAAAGAGGAGATTCCAGGTATTGCGGAGGAGAGACTTGGGATGAGAGAAGGAGGCACAAAGTGCACCTAACCCCCTCCCCTTTGCATTTGAGGCCTTCGCCATCCCTACGAGCTTGGCTACAACCATGGAAGCGGACAGGGAGAACCAAGCAGTCACAGACCCCCTGGATCCCCACAATCAGCTAATCCAACACCGGAAAGATGAGCATCCACTTTTAGATACATTTGCCCTGACAGTGTCTCCCTGCTCTTTAACTCTTAACTTCAGCAAATGGTAGGTTTGCACAAACCACCTTCCATTTGATCAATGGCTTAAATGTCAATATTCATCATCAACTACTGAGGAACACTTTGCTACTCAGGAGTGTTCCCTTAACTTCCATCTCACTTGATTACATGGAAGAATCTACATGCTGACTTTGCTTCAGCTTTCTGAGCTATTCATCAATATTTTTTTTTTAAAAAAAAACCCTAAAAGGTGAGATGTTATACTTACCCACTATCACTGAAAAGAAATTCCAAATGTGTCATGTAGACTTCCCAGAGAGGGACGCTGTAACGCTGAGCCAAGGACAAAGCAATCTTGTATACGTTTTCTTCAAGAGTTCTGGTCAAGGAAGAACCATGAAATAGATTTGGGGGGGGGAATTAAGAAGTAAGTAGTTTAATTAGGCTGCTAGAAAAGATGAGAAGTGGTTAGGATAGAAAATCATCACTGTTTGATAGCACTTTTCCACAAGGAAAGAAACAGTAAGACTTTTATTACTTTATTGTAAGTGCAATGTATGACTTGCTGCTGAGCCACTTACATAAATGTACTCTAAAACTTGGGGGCAAACTTTCACAATAAAGGAAAGGCAATACTCACTTTCAGAGGTATAATTTTAAAATGAATTTTATGGTAGAGGAGACTACAGTTTTGATTAATAGGGGATTGTTTATGTACTTAAATCATGAGCTCAAGCATGAAAACTATTCATCTGTTATGGCCCTGTATGAAGACGCTTTTGCTATGTAGGCTGCTTGCAATTATTAAAGTCTCACCAGAGCATTAAGAAAAGCGGTGTGTTTTTTTTTGCAATTAGAATTAACGTGTGAAGAAATGCATTATTTTCATTGGAGGTTTGAGATGAGCAAAACCTTTACTCTGAGTTTAAAAAGTTTTCCCCCACTCTCTGGGCAGAGAACAGGCAGGAAGAGGGGAGTCAGTTCAATTACTTTCCAGACTTACCTCAGCCCACCTTCATACAAATGCTAACAGGTCTAGACAATGGGATGGTCAAGCTCCCCCCCCCCTTCAAGCAGGGAACAGAGATTTGGAGGTGTTAAAGAGAGACTTCAGGAAGGAGACTTCTGGAAACTTCAGGAAAACCTTTTCTGACCTGGCCTGAGCTGGTCGGTGGGTGGGGAAGAGAGGTGATAAAACTCAGGGGAGCAAGGAGGAAGCTCTCGTTTGTGCTGAGTCCATCAGAGCAGACAGACCTCTTAACTGAAGTCTGGAGGAGGCAGTCATTAGCCATGCATTGGCCTGGACAGCTGATCTGTAGAGATCTGTAACTTCCTAAGCTAAAAAGCCTGGTCTATGTTTTAACATCTGATAGAGAAAGGGACAGATGAATTGCATTTTACCCATTTCTTTTGAATCCCTTGCTCAATCTGTTGCTGTAATAAAAGTATGCTTGTGAACATTTTCTATTTTACTTCATAACTTTCGATGCTGGTAGTCGTTCTCCGTACCACATAGACCTCCACTTGGACACGCTATTTTAAAAGGTGCACTGGGGGAAGGCCGTCAGTTATCCCTTCAGGGTTATTCCTTCAGGGGCACACAAGGGAGCAAATGTTCCCAATGGTGACCAGGTGCTGGGCAGAGGGAGACACAGAGGCAAGGCCTCAGAACTTGGATGGGAAGCTGGGAATCCTGACCCTCCCAGCGGGCAATTCCTACAAAGGACAGGTGGTGGCGGGTTAACAGAAAGAGAGAAAAGCCTCTCCAGGTGTTGGGAAAACCTTGGAGGGCAGGGTGGATCAGGGCCTGCAGGCCAGAGCAGGACGGTTCCACCACAACATGCATTGTACTCCCCTAATCAAAGCTGAGAATCAAAGATGCTTTATATATGGCGAACTGTGGTTATGCATCAAGTGCTGGATTGTGACCAGAGGATGCAACCAACCTATAACTTTTATATCAGGATCACGATGGTCTATCTCCAGTGACACTGAATTCTCCCTGAGGCATCAATTACTACCAATAAGGAAGAGATCACAAGGAATGACCAAGAGAAATCTACTTAAAAAGTTCCAGAGAGATTTTGTCTGGCCCAGCAGCTTAAATAGTCTTTACATGATTTGTTAGCGGAGTAACCTTTACAGCTGAATCAAATTTTTTTTGGGGGGGGGGGATCCAAGCTAACAAAAGGCATACTGGATTTGAAGTTATTAAATAGATTGTTAAACTTTGATTTCCAAACTGCTGGTGAGATTTTGGCCGAGACAGGGCTGCAATCCACAACCTTCTGAAGTCCAAGTTTTTTTGACGTAAGAGATGATCCCAGAATCAACAGAGACAACCCTGATAAGGAAATGTCATGGCTCAGTGGTGGAGTATTTGCTTGGCATGCAGAAGGTCCAAGCTTCAATTACGGGCATACCCATTTCAAAGGATCCGGCAGTAGGTGATGTGAAAGACCTCTACCTGAGACTCAGTCTGAGTAGACAATACTGACCTTGATGGACCAATGGTTTGATTCAGTATAGGGAAGCTTCATATATGTACATATATAGCTTGAAGACTAAGGGATGCTTGGTGTGGATTTAGTTAATGCACATCAGTGAACTTTGTTGAAAGGAAGCAACAAGAAAGCCCACCATAAATATTTGAACAATAGGCCAAAGTAGTCAAGTGATAGTCTATGATCCCTGAAAAAGCTTCTATCAGGCCAGCACCGTCTCCAGCTTCTTCCTCTAGTTCTGCTGCTGCTGTATTCTAGCTTGCTTTGCCAGACTCTCTCAATCACTCAGGAGAGATAGATAAGCAAGCTTCTGTTCCCTGCACTGGCTGAGGCTCCTCCCCCTCCCAGGGGGAGGGAGGGAATGAACCAGAGCTTGCTTCCTGGCCAGGCTGCCTCATTTGCACAGGAGAGAAAGGCAAGCCTTTCTTACCCTCTATTGGCTGAGACGCCTCCATGAAGGGAGGGAGGGAGGGAAGGAAGGAAGGAGTGAGAGCTTGCCATGAGGCCTTATGTTCTTGACAGTACGCAATGCAGTATATGTAAAAAAGCTCACAATGCCCTGTCATTTCATGTTTTTCCCTGGGTCCTATGCTCATAACTCTGAGCATGAGATTTCTGTAATGAATGTCAATAAATCAAAAGTAGGTTTGCACCTTACAGATACACACTTGAACACCATACTCAAGACTGTAACAGCACAGACATTTTGATGAAATAATTCAGAGCAAGAGGTGTCAGTTATCAGATACTGTTAAATAAACAAAATATTGCAAGAGTACTAATGTTTTAAGCATGTTTTTTAGAAAAAAATCTTTAAGTGTGTTTGTGTCCTTTATAAAGTTTATATTTCTGCTACCTGGCATTACATCTTATCACACACACTGCCCGGCCCAACAAGGTCTTGTTTATGTCAGATCCAGTCCTCATAACAAATGAGTTCGACACCCCACACCTAGATACTCAATATATTCCATTGTCAACAGATTTTTTTTAAAAAAAAATCACATTGTTTAATAACTCTCACTCCCACCAGCCATCTTTTGGAACCATACAGTACATCATGTTATACATTACGGCCCCTAGATGAAGAAGGCACTCCATAGTTCAATGGTCTGTATGCGGAAGCCATAACATGTGCACAGGCCCTTGGCATAAGTAAAAATGCCCATGCATCATGTCTGCTAAGTTTTTCTTCAATGTCACATTCAACCAGTGAAGGCAACAACAAAGCAAGCAAAAAGCAGAGCTCCAAGAAGTTCAAAGTTTCTGTTTGCAGAAAGGGCCCTTGCACTGAGGTATAAGATAATATGCTAGAGCATACGGAACTGAGAAAAAACATCCCTCTGCTAATAATATCTTGCATTTATTGATCCCTTCAGCTGAACAAAACACTTCATCTGAATAGAGTGGATGGAGGGGGGGGGGGATTCCATTAACAACCACCTTGCAAAAATAAACCTACAAAGTCGAGAGATGACTAATAAACCTTTATAAAGGTCATCACTGTTAAAAATTTATTTTCCTGGTTTGAATTTTAAATATGTTATGCTACAAAACAGACACTACTTACTCTGCCAGGCCTAATATGGTTTCCCTCTTGTACTGACCATCCGCTGTAAACCTCTGAACATCCACCCCTTTGCCAAGCCCTTGAAGAATCTGTGCCTGAGTGAAGTCCAAGAGCCGTTCATTGTAGTACTGTAGATGTTTTATCAGTGTTGCTATCTCGTCGGGCCAGTCTGCATAGCTTGTCCGGGTAACGTGCTCAGTGACCAGTTGAATTAATTCCTTTGGGTCAGCCTGTGGAATCAAGTCAAATACACACTGAAGGCTTACTGATGTTAAAGTCATATTCTAAAAGTGTTTTTTTGGAAGATATTTTTGTATTACCGAACACAAGTTTGTAAAGTAGCAAGCATCTCAACATGAAGCTTTAGTTCAGGCATCTTACAAAGGTCACTCTTTTTCCTTGCCCCATCATACTTTGTCTTCTTTGATACCCTCCCGTTGAGAGTCACCACAGATGTCCCAAAGATCTTCTCTGGGCCTCTACCTTACACCACCCAGGCCTAACTGGTTCATAATCTGTCAGCAAACTTCATGATTGCCTAGCAGCAATGGATTTTTATTCCATCTTTCCTCCCAAGAACTCAGAGCAGAGTACACGGTTCTCCCCTTCAACATGTCCTTACAGGAACATTGTGAAGGTAGGTTAGACTGAGAGAAAATGACTGGCCAAAGATTTCCCCTTCCCTCTGTTGTAAACTCTACTGGGCAACCTGCACTTGGGTCTCTGTATTCAACACTAAACAGTATACCACATTAGCTATCAAGCTGCTGTGGAATGATAGAAGGCTAGGCATCTGACCACGATTAGTGCTGCTAAATAGTTTAAACAAGTTAACACAACTAATACTAATTGCATCAAGAACATTAGACATCCTGGTGAGAGATCTCAATAAAAGGAAGCAAATTTCACCTTATTAGAGAGGTATTTGGGTCACATCCTACATTCTGATAAAAATTTTTTTGCAGATTCCCAAGAGAACTGTTCAAAATGGAATAAAAGCTAATTTGTGAGCAGGTATTCCCTACCTTATATTCTAAATGGGATAAGGAGCAGCTCCAAAATTAGTGGGATTTTTCCAATTTCTCTAAATAATGTCTGGAGACATCCTTTTCTCCCCTCAGGGACAACTTATAACTTAATTGCTTTGAGTTTTGAAAATCCATTTTAGGAAAATGAAGAAAAATAAATGGTACGGACAAATAACATATACATATTAAAGCAAGATGGAAAAAGGAAATCAATTACCAAGCAATTTACAGCATTATTTCCTTTGAAACATTCAGTGCTACTTAAATTTAATTAGTAGTCTGAATTTCTAGCAGCAATAAACCAATACAATTGGCGAGTTTCATTCAGAGCAGATTAAAGAGGAGTGACACTTTTTAAGAACCAGGAACTTCTTCTGGTTACACCTTGTTAATCCTTTTAACAGGACCTTTCCCAGAGCGCTTACAGTAGCATGGCCCAGTGATTACCAGCCTTGGGTTTGTGACATCCCAGTGTGCCAGCTGCCAGTTATTACAAGGGATTTCATAAAATTCTCAAAATAAGATTAATTTTAATTCACTCTAATTAAAAATATGTGTCACAACGTTTTCTGGGTCATTTTTAAATTTGGCTCGGATTCTAAGAATCCTTTCCAATACTTAAGCAGTCACAATTCTCCAAGAAGTGGTGGCCCCTGGACTTATCGAAGGTCACTTTTGTGGCCATGGAGTTGGGGAGCATGAGAATGGGAAGGATTTCCCCTGCAGCACCTCCATAGCAGTGGAAGGCCACAGTGGTTAGTCCTGGCCATGGCAGAGCAGCCAACTGGTCACCCAGATCTGCAGAAGTGGGGCGTGGCTTCAGGGAGCAGCAGAAGCCAGAACTTTGCCCTGGCCCACCCCTTTGTTCAGGAAGCTATGACCGGGGGCAGCCTGGTTCCCTCAGCTCTGGTCCTTTGGCCTTCCTTGGTCTTGCCTGCTTCTCAGCTTCTACCTTCACTGAATCCCCAAAAAACCAAACTTCATGGAGCACAGCAGAGTGCAGTGATTTGTTACATTTACATCTCACCTTTCTCAGCACATAAATTAATTTCTCCAAGATAAGTGAGTGAGCTTTGGGGGATTACCCTACAGAAAGGAAAATGTACATGATTTTCCCTATAGCACAAAAACAGCTGGGGGAGGATTATGCAGCTGTGTGCTTGCTCCCCCCCCCAAAAAAAAAAATCTTAAAAAGAGAACATGCCTCTAGATTGGAACAGATAATAAAAAGCACTGCACTTTTTATGGAAAAGCACGAACTGGGAAAATGCGGCTTGGTTCATGGTTTGTGGCTGAACCATGAACTAAACCATGAACCCAACCAATCCAGGCTTGTTCATGAACTGAATTGGTTCATGGTTCATGGCCCTGCAAACCCCACTGGAAGGCCTCCACTTGTGATCCTGGAGAACCAGTCCCTGTCACTTTTAGTTTCCCTCTCAGTTTGTTGATTTCTAATGTGATGGTTCTGTTGAGACACTGAAATGAAATCTGGTACAGAACTTCCACTGGAAGTCCAGTAGTACTTCCTTCTATCTTGGGAGTTTAAATTATTGTCCATGAATAACCCCATTCTCTTTTCCCGGAATCTAGAAGACCAAATTCAAAAATTCTGTCCTGGATACTATTCATGTGTTCTTCTGTGACCATGATTTTTCCATTCTCTCTCATTAAGGAACCTATGTAACAGCCTTGAAGTTCTTAGCTTTGCTTGAGAGTGTAACAATGCTTCCCTCTTCTACATTGGTAGTTGACCGACTTTTAATTGCCTCTCTGGACAACCAGTCTGAACTGGAACATCCAGTGACAACTGATAGCCTTTAACAGCTCTTCAGCTCCATTCACCAGTCTTGGGAAACTGCTATAGTGTGATCTTATTATTGAAAGTGACCAGTTGGAGAAGCATTTTAGGATTTCTTCCTTTGGCACAAAGAAGTTTTATTCAATACCTCTGCTCAAATCTATGTGCCCAGGCAGCTCTCCTATGTACATGTTCCATAAGGATGCTATTTGAGCATAATGGCCCAGGAGCCTCAGCAACCCATCTTCCAGAAAAAAATATGCACAAAGAAAAATTAGGCAACAATAAGCTGTTGTGTCTGAAATTTTTCTTCAAGTCTAATGTCTTTAATGTGGAGGTTATCCTCTCTGTTGCTCACAGGATCTACCTTTCTTCAACACCGAATCTAGGTCTAGAATTTTTTCAATTTCACCGTAATGTTATCTTCTCAAACCTGCTATAGGCTTTCTTGCTTTCCTAGGATTCTATGCCAAACAAAAGGGCCAGTTTAGGTAACAGCATAGTTACTAAGTAGAAAAGTGCATTGGAGCATGTCCGTTATTTCCTCCTCAATTTGTGAGGCCTCTGTACTCTCAGAAGCCAGACACATCTGTACTCTCTTTTCAAGTATTTGGAGCACATCAGAGAATTTTTATATTTAGAAATATTTTATTTTCCAATTTCTAACTTTGAGTGGACAGTCAGAGAGCCTGCAAGTGCAGATGAAAGTGGAACAGGACCTGGGCACATTGATGAAGTATCTTTCTTTTTGGGAAAAAAACAATACCCCAATGTGGATACTTTGAAGGTAATCGTGCCGCATCATGCTACGTGGCCACAGTGCTGAAGCAACTGCTTGGCATGCAGAAAGTCCCAGGATCAATCCTTTGCATCTCCAGTTAAAGGGATCAGGTGGTAGGTGATGTAAAAAACCAAAAACTCTTCCTAGAACTCTGGAGAGCTGCTGCCAGGCTGAGTAGACAGATTCAATATAAGGCAGCTGCGTCATGTATCTTGCATTTTTTCTTACTGAGATTTGTCAATTAGATATTATAAAGAAAAAAAATGCATTTCCATAATACCACAAAGCTAGTGGAGTGAAGCAAAACTCATAACCTCATTTTAAACAGCTGTCAGTTCTCTTGTTGATGAGACCATGGAAAGAGGCAGTTTCTCTTCTTAGAGGCAGGAAGATTCATGAAAGCAATTAGCAAAACAGGCCTTGCCTTTTCTTGCTGTATTATAAACTGAGAGAAAGGTTAAAACTGAACATTTGTTTCTAGTAAACAGAGGGTATCTCTGGACCAGGCCATGAAATTAAGCTGTACGTTACATCTGGAAAGAAAACCCCCACACCATGGATTAAACAAAAATCTGGGACATCACAGACTTTAATTAGACTTTTCTGTCCACTCCGAATGCTTTGTAAAACTCCAAAGGAAACATAAAAAAAAAAACCTTCCTAGAACAGAGAGCAGATCCCTCTAGACCAAGGGTGACCAAACAATGGTATCTTCAGCCACCATGGATGCCCGCACGCTTTGTGGCTCCAGGTGCCCTCCCAAACATGCTATTAAGGCTACTAGGCCACTCCTGCATTTTGCAGTCTCTTGGGCTGCAGGCAACAGAACAGCAAAGAGCAACTAGAATGCAGGAGAGGGGGGGATAACAATTGGAGAGGTGGGACAGAATGTAGGGCAAAGAAAAGGGAGATTATTGAAGTGTGTACCAGCATCCTGTTTCCAACAATTGAGAGCCAGGTATTCTAGAAGGTCCACAAGCAACAGCTTTTCCCCTCTGTTTGCTCCTAACATCAGTGTTCAAAGGTATGCTGCTGCTGATCATGCAGTTTCTATTGAATTAGGCTAGTTAGTACTCTCTGAACGACATATGCCACTTCAATTTTGCCAAACCTTTTTAAAAAGCCATCCAAGCTACTGGCCACTGTCATGTGGCAATGAATTCCATATGTTAACAGTCTCAAACTGCATTTGCTCTTGTGTGCTCTAAAACCTACAGCCAAGCAGTTAATCAGGGGCCCCAAGATCCTGTATTATGAAACAGAGAGAAATCTGCTAGGGAGAATGTACACACCACAGAAAAAGTGACTATGTTTTTGAACGTGGCCACTGAAATACAGTCTAGATGGTGAAATAACTGTTCATCAAAATCATAGTAACTGCTGTGTTGCTTTCAACATTTTAAAAATTAGTTGACTGCACAATAACTTTTTCCCAAAGGAACAGAGAGAAAAATGCTTCTCTTGACACTTCCACAATTTCATAAGCCCCACATGCCTCACTGTAGTCTCCTTTCCCCCCTAAACACAGCAAATATTACAGCCTGTACACAGCAGAGGGGCCTCTAACCCTGTGACAGCTTTACAATGTTACACTATGCAAAAGTAACCTAGCCTAAACTCACTGAAATCAAATGAATGTAAGATTGGAGTAACTCTGCTTAGGATTGCACTTAGTTACTCTTTTCTACTTCTGCGCTATTGTTTTTGAGATGGTATAATTAAAACTGTACACAGGCATGATGATATTGGCAGCTCTATTTCTAACCTCTTCCCC